TTTAACCTCTTCATCGAACACTACAATCAAAGGAGATACTTCTTCACAATTCAACAAGATGTATGTGTGAGCCTTGTGTAGATCTCCATCTTGTAGTCGATAGTGTGTTCCAGCCTTACCATATAGTTTCCGAGACGGGGTCTTAAATATGCTTAACCGCATATCGGAAGACGAACATTCGGGGGCAAAAATTTCGAGGCTCACGATTTAGCCGCGTCTCTACCGTTGTATGTGTGAGCCTTGTGTAGATCTCCATCATGTTTTATGAGTTGTAATTAAGAGATTTTTGAAATTTTTGCATAAAATGATTGTACCTTATGCTTAAATACTTGTACTTAAGACTTTGATTTAAATGCTTATTAAAGTGGTATAAATAGATATATGTTATGTAATATATAATTTGCATTTGACAATCTAAATGTCCTATAAACCTAAATTTTATAAATTATACTACTAGGATGTTGTTAGACAATCTAATTAAGTGTTGTAGTGTTGTTCAACTATTAGATAGTCTCCAACAACAATGCTAAAACAATGTAAAAAAAGTATAAATATCCTAAAACATGTAAAGCAAGGCTCAACGGGATCTATTTACAATCTGTAAACCAAACCAATCCATCTGCAAACTAAACCATACAACATATTCGAAAACATTCGACACACAGAACTCATGTAACCAAGGTTCAGTGGGATCCCATATACAATATGTCAATCAAACCAATTAATCTGTAAACTAAACCCTAAAACAGATTCGAAAACCAACAAAGTTGAATCAGAATCTACACCAATATCCTTAATACATACAGGTGGCTTGGAGTGGAAAGCATAAGCAATAAATAGCAACTGAAAACAAACCTAGTCGTCGGGCACTGTTGGTGGAGAAAGGAAGTAGTAACCGAAAACAATAGGGAGGCGATGTCTAAGTCGGTCCGCCCCTGCACTCGTCGCCGATGTCTAAGTCAGTCAGTTGCTGCTGGTTAATCTAACTAAGCAGTAACCGAGAGGGAGGCGAGAGGGAGGAGGCGAGAGGGAGGAGGCAAGAAAGAGTCCGGTTAACCTAACTAAACAAAAACACAATTTGGGCTTTTGGGGGGGTTTTAAAAATTTCAAATTTCTTTTCAAATTTCATTTCAAAATAAAAAATGAAATCCGTAGGAACATTTTTTAAATATACAAAAAAAATTATAAGATTTTCAACAGATCTTTATATTTAAAATAAAAATTAAAGTCAATAGTACCCGTTAAAATCTATTAAGATCCATTAAAGACCAAATAGTAACCGTTAAAGCCCAACAATCCATTAAAGTCCACTAAGATCTATTAAAGCCT